GGAGAAGGGTGCAACAATGAATGAATGGAATTCCAAAATCTCTGTAGATGTTCATTGAAATGAAAAATAAACAACGTAAATTAAAAAACAAACAAACAAACAAAAAAGCAAGGAAACACTGCATGCTTCAAAGTTGGGAAACATGTACGCCAGGGATGTGTCCTATCTTCATAGCTTTTCAACCTGTATGCAAAACATATTATCTGCGAGGCTGGGCTCTAATAGAAGAAATGTGGCATAAGGATTGGTCGAAGATCTATCAACAATCTGCGTTATGCAGATGACAGAACCGTGTTTGCTGAAACTAAGGAGGACCTGAAATGCTTGCAACAGAGGGTCAAGGACTGCACCCTTCAGTATGGATTGAAGCTCAATGTCAAGAAGACAAAGATTCTCACCACTGGACAATTGGCAGCATCAGGATGGATGATGACGAGATTGAGATTGTTAACAATTTTAGTCTGCTTGGCTCCATGGTCAACACTCTTGGCACCAGTAGCCAGGAAATGAAAATACCTATTGCGATGGGAAAGTCTGCTGTTAGGGACTTCTCCAAAGTGCTGAAGAGCAATGTAGTCACTCTGGATACTAAGGTGTGTCTGACACAGGCTGTCATCTTTGTAATCACTTGTTATGCATCAGAGAGTTCGACAATGACTAAGAAGTATAGAAGGAGAATTGATGCTTTTGAGCTTTGGTGTTGGAGAAGAGTGCTGAGAGTGCCATGGACTGCCAAGAAAACAAACAGATTCATCCAGAAGAGGGTTAAACAGGGCTGCTCCTTGGAGGCAAGGATTCTGGGGCTTCATCTGACATATTTTGGACATGTTGTCAGGAGGGACAGTTACTTGGAGAGGGACATCATGCTTGGGAGGGTGGAACAAGAGGGGAAGACCCTCTATGAGGTGGATTGATTCAGTGACTGGGTTAATCAGGATGGGAGTGTCAGAGACAGTGCAATTGGCACAGGATAGAGCAAGGTTTAGGGTTGTTGTACATAGGGTCACTATAAATCGCAAGGGATTCCATGGCACATAACAACAACAACAATAGCAAGAACCTTAACTATATAAGAGTCATATACTAATTTTCAGCTTCTGCCATTTATGACCTCTGACAGGATTCTAGGTAGATGCTATTGTATTTATACTACAAGAAGGAAGGACATAGTGAGCAGTGTTTGCTGCAAAGTTTTATTATATCCTCCTAATATAACTTGATTGTTCCTAAAAGAATAGCTTAAAGGTAAGGCATAATGGATTTCATATTTGAATGTAAATAATTTTCCAAGTAAAAAAAAAAGATGACCTCAAATTATCTAGCATACAATATTACAAAAATACAAAATTATATATAATTATGTATAATATACCAGAAATTATATATCATTTTTTAATTTCATTGACCAAATTCTGAAATTAATCAAGAATTAGTGACTACATGCCCATTATCTTGTGTAATCATTGTTCTAGAAACAGGTGGGTCATAACTGAAATTTTCCATGGGTGTCATCATAAAATTGCTTATTTTATTATTAATTGAGTTCACTGATAAAAAAGCAATTGTTGAAATATGTATAAACCCTTTTGTTGTTCTACAGCCTGGAGAATATCCGCCAATGTGGCGTTGCCCTCTGCATTCTACTGGGATTTTCCATCTTGACTGCATCAATCGGAAGCTCTGTGGTGAAAGACAGGGTTAGCGGGGCCAAACGATTGCAGCACTTAAGTGGCCTTGGATACAGGATGTACTGGTTCAGTAACTTCCTATATGACATGGTAGGATTTTTGAATGAATTCCTCTGTGACTTTTTCTGGTAAAATGTTTAATTATGTAAACTAGATAAAGGGATGACTTTGGCCACCACAGACTAAGCTCCAAGAAAAAACCTCCCCAAATCCATTCCTATTAAGTTAATTCCAACTTACAGAGACTCAATAGAATAGAATAGAACTTAACTATTCAATAAACGTTTATAGCTAAGGTGTTCAGAGGGTCAGTTTGAGTTTAATGGTACCTAACAATAACAAATCATTAATAAAGCAGATCATTACATCTTTCTCTTGTGGAAGAAATGCGAGGACTCGACCATCCACTTTCTGTTGCAGAAAGCTTATGGGAAAATAATGTAAAGTTTCTTGTTTTGCTTATAGTCACCAATCTTTGAAAATGTTTTGTAAGTTCAACAATTGAAAAAGAACAGAAAGAGATTTTGTAGATAAGATGCATACAAATTTTTTATCTCTATATACCTATTGAGGATCAAAGGAGAATTCATGCCTTTGACCTGTAGTGCTAGAGAAGAGTATTGAATGTACCATGGACTGCTAGGAAAACAAACAGATTCATCCTGGAAAGGGATAAACTGGGAGGCTCCTTGGAGGCAAGGATTCTGAGGCTCCCTCTAACATACTTTGGATATGTTGTAAGGAGAGACTTATCCTTGAAGAGGGACATCATGCTTGGGAGGGTGGAGGGCAAGCGCAGTAGGGGAAGGCCCTCTATGAGGTGGATTGATTCAGTGATGGGTACTCGGGATGGGTGTGTCAGAGACACTGCGATTGGCACAGGACAGAGCAGAGTTTAGGGCTATTGTACTTAGGGTCGCTATGAGTCGCAAGCAACTCGACAGCACATAACAACAAACAACAACATACCTATTGTTTAATCACCTTTAGCAAATTTTAAAAAACTATTTTTTATTGCTTTTAATGTGAATGTAGGAAAATTAAATATTGTTAAGGAAGAAATGGAATGCATAAATATTGACATACTAGGCATTGGTGAGATGAGATGGACTGGCACGGGCACTTTGAGTCAGATGATCATATATTACTCCGGAGATGAAAAGGTGAGGGAAAATGGGGTTGCTTTCATAGTTAGAAAAGCCATTTCTAGATCTGTCTTGAAGTACAATATTGTGACAGGATAATATCCATATGCATACAAGGAAGTCCAATGAATACCACTATCATTCAGATATATGCACCAACAACCAGAGCCAAAGAAAAGGAAATAGATTTCTACCAACTTTTACAGTCTGAGGTCGACCGAGCATACAATCAAAATGCACTGATAATAATGGGGGACTGGAATGCAAAAGTTGGGAACAGAGAAGAAGATTCAGTAGTTGGAAAACATGGACTCAGTGACAGAAATTTAACTGTAGATAGAATGATTGAATTTTGCACATAATGACTTAACACATTGTAAACACATTTTTTAAGAAACGTAAACACAGGTTATACACATGGATTTCACCTGATGATATGCATAGGAATCATATTGATTACATCTGTGAAAGAACTGCTGGAGAATCTCAATATCAGCTGTGAAAACTAAGCCAGGAGCTGATTGTGTAACAGACCACCAACTACTCATATGCAAGTTCAAGCTGAAACTGAGGAAAATTAAACCAAATCCATGAGAACCAAAATATAACTTTGAGTCTATCCCACCTGAATTTCAGAACCATCCAAGAAACACATTTGAAACACTCATGAGTGAAGACCAGATGAGTTGTGGGAGGGTTCAAGGGTATCATCCAGGAAGAGTGCAAACGTTCATTACAAAGACAGGAGGAAGAAAAGACCAAAATGAATGTTAGAAGAAATTCTGAATATTGCACTGGAGTGCAGAGAATCCAAAGGAGAAGGAAGAATTCAAGATACTAAAGAGCTGAACAGAAGATTTCGAAAGGCCATACGAGATGAGAAAGTAAAATATTACAATGAAATGTGTAAGGAGCTGGAGTCAGAAAATCAAAAGGGCCGAACTCGCTAAGAATTTCTTAAGCTCAAGGAAGTGAAGAACAAATTCAAACCTCGAGTTGCTATAATTAAGGATGCTTTAGGCATAATATTAAATGATCTAGGAAATATTAAAAGAAGATGGAACAGAATAATTTAATGAAACAACATAGGAGCAAGAGCCTACGGCGATGAAAAAAAAGTTCAAGCTGTTTTGAAGGAAATAGCAAAACATAAGACCCCAGGAATAGATGGTATACCAATTGACATATTTCAGGTATAGATCCTGCCCTGGACGTGCTCACTAAGTTGTGCCAAGAAATCTGGAGAACAACCATTTGGCCAACTGACTGGAAGTTGTTCCCATTCCAAAGAAGTGTTACACAACAACATGTGGTAAATATAGAACAATCTCATTGATTTCATATGCAAGCAAGATTCTACTGAAGATTATCCAAAAACGACTGAAACAGCACATCAGCAGAGAACTGCTAGAAGTCCAGGGTGGGTTTAGAAGGGGTTGTGGTACTAGGGATATTGTAGTTAATGTTAGATGGATCTTGGCTGAAAGCAGGGAATACCAGAGGAATGTCTATTTTTGTTTCATTGATTATGCAAAGGCGTTTGACTGTGTGGATCATGACAAACTGTGGCTGACTCTGAGAAGAATGGGAATCCCAGAACACTTGATAGTGCTCATGTGAAACCTATACTTGGACCAAGAGGCAGTCGTCAGAACAAAGCAAGAAAACACTGCATGGTTCAAAATTGGGAAGGGTTTATGCCAGTGATGTTGTCCTGTCCCCATACCTTTTCATTCTGTATGCAGCGAAGATTATGTGGGAGGCTGGGCCCTATAACAAGAAATGTGGCATCAGGATTGGTGGAAGATCTATCAACAATCTGCGTTATGCAGATGACACAACCCTGCTTGCTGAAACTGAGGAGGACCGGAAGCACTTGTTGCTGAGGGCCTTCAATATGGATTAAGGATCAATGTCAAGAAGACAAAGATTCTCACCACTGGACCAATTGACAGCATAGAATGGATTGTGAAGAGATTGAGATTGTTGCAGCTTTAGTTTGCTTGGCTCCACAGTCAACACTCTTGGCACCAGTAGCCAGGAAAATAAAAGATGTATTGCAATGGGAAAATCTGCTGTTAGGGACCTCTCCAGAGTACTGAAAAGCAATGGTGTCTCTCTGGAGACTAAGGTGCGTCTGATACAGGCCATGGTCTTTACAATCACTTATTATCCATCAGAGAGTTAGACAATGACTAGGGAAGATAGAATAATTGATGCCATTGAGTTGTGGCGTTGGAAAAGATTATTGAGTGTACTATGGACTGCAAGAAAACAAACAAATTCATGCTGGAGAGGGTTAAATAGGGCTTCTCCTTGGAGACAAGGATTCTCAGGCTTCATCTGACATACTTTGGTCATGTTGTAAGGAGAGACTGGTCCTTGGAGAGGGACATCATGCTTGGGAGGATGGAGGGTGCAGGAGGGGAAGGCCCTCAATGTGGTGTATTGATTCAGTGACTGTGGTAATCAGGATGGGTGTATCAGAGACAGTGCGATTGGCACAGGAGAGAGCAGAGTTTAGGGTTGTTGTATATAGGGTCTCTATGAGTCACAACAATACTTTTACAATATGTTTCATTCATATACATTGTTTTAAGCAATCTTTCATTTACATTGTGCTTCATACAATCATTCATGTACATTCTAATTTATATTCTTTTTATACTAGTTTTTTACAAATTTAGAATACATTGTTTCCTAACACCAGATCCTTCCTACTTCCCTCAGCCCCCCACCCATCAAATTGTACAACCCATGATTACTTTTGCCCCACACATCATTACTTCTCTGCTTCCACTCTCCTGTTCCACTTGGGTCCTCATACTCATTCTACAATAATGGTTTTATGTAATATTTGTCCTTGTGGAACTCAGTTCACTCAGCATAATGCTTTCTACTCCCTCTCAAGTTAGGTGGTAATTTACAAAATCATTGCTCCTGCATACTGTGTAGTATTCCATCTTATGAATGTATCATAATTTCTCAACCCATTTGATTATGGTTGGGCATCTGGGCTTTAACATACTCTTGATAAGAAGTAGAATGGGAAATGATAATAATTAGAAAGGATATGTCTTCTGCATGCATAAAATCAACTTAAGTGTGAGTTTTGCCTCATCTTCGAATTTTTCTATAAAAGATTATTATTTTCTTTCATGTACTCATTTTTCTGCATATAGATTGAATAGGTCTGGTGATAGGACACATCCCTGGCATACACTCTTCCCAGTTTTGAACCATTCAATGTTTCCATGTTCTGTTCTGATGACTGCCTCCAAGTCCAAGTATAGTTTTCACATAAGCATGATTAAGTATTCTGGGATTCACATTCTTCTCACAGTTAGCCACAGTTTGTTATGAGCCACACAGTCAAATGCCTTTGATTAGTCAATGAAACACAGATAGACATTCCTCTGGTATTCCCTACTTACAGCCAAGATTCATATATAATTAGCTACAATATCCCTAGCACCACAGCCTCTTTTAAACCTGGCTTGAACTTCTGGCAGTTCTCTGCTGATGTGCTGTTATAATAATTTTTGCATAATGTTCAGTAGAAGAATCCTTGCATGTGGTATTAATGATGTTGTCTGATAATATCTGTACTCTGTCAGACCACCTTTCTTTGGATTGGGAACAAATTTAGAACTCTTGCAGTCAGTTGGCCAGGTGGTTGTCCTCCAGATTCATGGCACAACTTGGTGAGTACATATAGGGAAGCAGCCATATCTTTTCGATCTATATGCAGAACAGATTATCCTGGACACAAGGCTTTATGATGAGAAATGTGGTATCAGAATTGGACAAACAGTTATCAATAATCTGCATTATGCAGATGACACAACCCTGCTTGCTGAAACTGAGGAATACATGAAGTGCTTGATGCAGAAGGTCAAGGACTGCAGTCTTTATTGTATATTGAAGCTCAATATCAAGAAAAGA